TATTGTCAAAGGGTTCATTTGCACTTTAAGCCCTTCTCTTAATTTCATTATCAACGCTCTCCTTTGTAAAAACCTACCTTCACATCGTGTAAGGATACCACTCCATATCCTGTTGGCCTGGCAGATACGTGACGACGAACCACGAAGAAGAAAACCTTCGTCACATCTGAACTTGATCGTATTGGGAAACACTGTCAAGCTTCCGTGTTTGGACCCATTTTGTGGAAGAGCAAGAGGACCACAGTCCACCGCTGTTGGTATAAAAAATGCAATCAACATTGCGCACTAACTTACTTTCTATAGACGACATAAAAGTTTGTTTAAAAATATGTGGATTATTCTTGTGTTTCCTGACTTGGATTAATTATTAGTAGAAGGCATTTACCACTGATACTACATCAGGAGAAGAAAGTTACCTTCGCAGATCGTTCGATTGCCGCTCCACTTTCCATTTGATAAGCACGAACGCACCGATGAGCCAATCAAATCGAACCCTTCGTCACATGTAAACTTGATAATATGTGGGAAGACTGTTTTGTTTCCATACATTGATCCATTCATGGGTACAGCAAGCTGGCCACAATTAACAGCTAAATTAAGAACATCAACAATATAAGAAATTAACAAATAACGATAATATATAATAATAATACGAAGTGGACGTCTCAGTTGATAACCTGTTACAAAATTTGTACTTGAATTAAGTTTGCTGAAACTCAGTTATCAAAAGCATTATAACCTTCACATCGTGTCATGCTACCACTCCATGTCCTGTTTGCCTGGCAGACACGAGACGATGAACCACGAAGAAGAAACCCTTCGTCACAGCTGAAGGTGATGATATTAGGAAACACCGTTAAAGCTCCTTGAAGTGATCCATTTCGGGGAGCATCCAAGGCGCCACAATCTACAGCTATTCAACAAGATTAATTTAAAATATTGATGAAGTTACAGAGGTTTAAAAAAGGTACTCCAGATATACAGCCATTCTCCCATCGATTGACCTGTCCATCCATCATGGGGGCGAATAAAAGAACGAGAGAACGAGAGATGGTCGAGTTGTGTCTTCTTTACAGAAACCTACCTCTCACGGGCATCAACGTACCTTTACATCGCGCAAGCATTCCACTCCATGTCCTGTTGGCCTGGCAGACACGCGACGATGAACCACGAAGAAGAAACCCTTCATCACAGCTGAACTTGATCGTATTGGGAAAAACTGTCACGCTTCCGTATTTGGATCCATTTTGTGGGACAGCAAGATGACCGCAGTCAACAGCTACCATAGAAGATGAGAAGAAGATAAACAAAGTTCAGTACTAATTTGGCTACCACGAAGAACAAATACGTTCAGTATCAAGGAATGGTCAAGTGGCCGATAAATAGAGGTTTGCTTCTCAATAGGTGGCCGCTTAACAGGTTCTACTAAACTCTTACCTTTACACGTTGTTTGATTGCCATTCCATTTTCCATTCGACAAACATATGCGCACAGGCGGTCCGAGTAAGTCGAATCCTTCATCACATTTAAACTCTATGCTGTTTGGATACACCGTGCTGCTTCCATACATTGACCCATTCATGGGCACGGCCAGGGGACCACAATCTATGGCTATCAGACCAAACAGAAAACGTAATAAACAATAGGTCTCGTTCCATTCAATACATACATTTTTATATTTTAAAAAAGGCTTGTTAATTCGACCCAGCTAAGTTATGCCTGCAAAATTTTCACGAGTTTGTTTGCTGATGCTTGTAAAAGCTATTAATTCCTCTTAAAAAGCAAGGCCAATCTACTTTATTTGATATACCTTCACAATGCGTCAAGCTACCACTCCATGTCCTGTTGGCCTGGCAGACACGAGACGATGAACCACGAAGAAGGAAACCTTCGTCACAGCTGAAGGTGATGACGTTAGGAAAGACCGTAGAAGATTCTTCAAGCGATCCATTTTGAGGAACAGCAAGACGACCACAATCAACAGCTGAAAAAGAAACGTACAATTTGTTTCTTCTTCTAACTTTTCAGTTTAGCTGCTAGCATAAACAAGAGATACCTTGACATGTTGGTTGAGTACCACTCCAGTTTCCATTTGACAAACATGTCCGTTGGGATGACCCCAGGAGATCAAAGCCTTCATCGCAACTGAATGTAAGAATGTTTGGAAATACAGTCTTTGTTCCTTCCATCGTTCCATTCATGGGTACAGCAAGAGGACCACAATCGATCGCTATTTCAAAACAGACAAATTAATAATATCATAAACTATGAATTTTTGTATTAAATGTTTCCACTTCGGATTCAGTGTTGTTTTTTATCAATAACATCAAAGTACCTTCACATCGAGTAAGGATACCACTCCATGTCCTGTTGGCCTGGCAGATACGTGACGACGAACCACGAAGAAGAAACCCTTCGTCACAGCTGAAGGCGATGGTATTGGGAAAAACTGTCAAGCTTCCGTGTTTGGAACCATTTTGTGGAAGAGCAAGAGGACCGCAATCAACGGCTGGTCGAAAGACAACGAGATAAACGTTAGTTTTGGCTTTTTTACTTTCTTTGAGTTTGCAACAGGAAACAAACATTGGTCTTTACTTACCCTTGCAGATTGGATGGAAACCATCCCATGTTCTATTCGATGTACAAAACAGTAAAGATGATCCAATCAAATCAAACCCCTCGTCGCAGTTGAATGTAATGCTGTTTGGAAACACGGTCAAGCTTCCTTGTTTGGATCCATTTTGAGGAGCAGAAAGAGGACCACAATCGACAGCTGTCGAGAATAAATCCCTATCTTAGAAAGTTGGTCGCGGTATTCTTTTTTCTTCGATATAAAAGTGGTCTTACCTTTGCAGGATGTCATGCGTCCACTCCAAGTTCCATTGGGTAGACATGTTCGAGCAGCTGAACCAATTAAATCAAATCCTTCATCACAACTAAATCTTATAGTGTTCGGAAAAACAGTCTTGCTACCATAAACTGAACCATTCTTTGGTAATGGAAGTACACCACAATTCACAGCTATAAAAGATAACAAGCAGCTAAAGAAACAAATGATAAATATCCAAAGAAGAAATAAGTGAAGGATGAATGAAGGAATGAAGGGCACAAGGAAGGAAGGCAGACAAGAAGGCAGCAAACAAAGAAGAAAGAAAGCATAGAAGTAAGCAAGCAAGCAAGCAAAGAGGCAAGCAAGCTAAGAGGCAAGCAAGCTAAGAGGCAAGCAAGCAAAGAGGCAAGTAAGCAAAGAGGCAAGGAAACAAGCAAGCAAGCAAGCAAGGACGTAAGCAAGAAGCCAAGCAAGCAAGTAACACGAAGAGAGAGAAGAAAAAAGGAACATTCATAACCTCTGCACTTCGGTCGCATTCCGTTCCACTTTCCACTTGCTAGACATTTCCTTATTGGAGATCCAAACATCTCAAACCCTTCGTCACACATAAACCTTATGATGTTCGGGAATACCGTCTTTTTGCCTATCATGGTGCCATTCATGGGCGCGACCAGAGGGCCACAGTTTTTAGCTGTAAATGGAAAATACAAAAATGGATTGGTTGCCAACTGCATTTGCACAACGGAGCTTTGACAACAGATAAAATCCCTCCTCAGAATATTCTTGCATGGTGCTTATATAACCAAAAGCGGATGGTTAAAAAATTTCCGTAAACGTTTGAGGTTAAAAGGGCTCAAGTACCTTTACACAATGACTTTGTTCCACTCCAGGTTCCATTGGACAAACATTCTCTTTCTTTAGAGCCAATCAAGTCAAACCCTCGATTGCAAATAAACTTGATTGTGTTCGGGTAATCAGTGAGGTTTCCACGGATAGTGCCATTCACAGGAATAGATAGAGGACCACAGTCGATTGCTGTAACCAAATCAAATGAGTTAGGAAAATCCCCGGGGGGGCTCTCTTGAAAAGTGGGTAGAGGGGCTCGGGTCGAAAATGAGACCTCGCGTACCTTTTAGGGTCTCCAGCTGACTCTGTAAGTTTTGGGGTCAGATTTGTTCGTTTTGAAAAATGCCTTCACTCTATACAAGATACCCCTTTGAAAGTGTGCCAACAAGAAAGGGTACCAATATAATAAAGGACCAACTAAAAAGTGTGCCAACAAGAAACTGAAGCAACATAACTTTGTGCTCATAAGACAATTGTAAGATATCAATTAGATCAATTGCCCATCCCTTAAGCAGCAAATATACAGCATAACCAAGATGGCATAATCAATATATATTTAAAACTGCCCACTTGAATTAGCGCCTGATAATTTCCTAGTAAACATTTGGAGGAAAGAAAGAAACCTAGTTTACCTTCACAATGAGTTGAGTATCCACTCCACATTCTGAAATGCAAGCATTTTCTTAAAGACGATCCTCTTAACACAAACCCTTTGTCACACGAAAACTTGATTTCGTTTGGATAGAAAAATTTGTTGCCCACCATTGATCCGTTCGTTGGTACAGCTAGACGACCACACTCTACACCTTTAACACATAAGACAGAGAATAAATAGGGGGAGTGGGGTTGCTTAAAATGAATAAAGGTGGGTAAATTGCAAGTTAGAATTAACTGACTGATTGATGGATGGATGGATGGGTGATTGGATGGACGGATGGATGGATGGATGGATGGATGGATGGATGGGTGG